CTTTGACGCAGTGTTATTTGACATAGCACGCAGCTTGTGTAGTTTACACTGTTTGTGCAATTCCTCCTCGATTGTTGTCGTCTGTCTGAAGCTGCGGTGTTTGTTTGTTTGTTTACACGTCATCTCTGTAGTTTATTCATTCCGTTTTACATGCTAAGTAGAATGACGTTGTTGTTGTTCTTCTTCTTGGTTCTTTCGGTAAAGTCGTCACGTAGAAGGGAAATAATAAAATAATACAACATAATAAAATAATTCTCACGACGTTTCGGCCACAACGCAAGCAGCCGTCCTCAGGTGAAGAACAGGTCTGTCGGAAAGACAGCTGTCTGAATGAACAGGTCTGTCTTTCCGACTGTCTTTCCGACAGACCTGTTCATTCAGATGCTGTCTTTCCGACAGACCTGTTCTTCACCTGAGGACGGCTGCTTGCGTTGTGGCCGAAACGTCGTGAGAATTATTTTATAGTTTTATTTTTATTATTTTATTATTTCCCTTCTACGTGACTTTACCGAAAGAACCAAGAAGATGAATCCCTGCAGTCACGAAAGCTTTAAATCGAAATTTAAAGTTGTTGTTTATAATTGCCAGCCAGAACATGAGTCAGTATTAATACTGTTTGAGCGAGATATTTGTAATATTTTCACAAATCGTCCAGACCATTGGTCCGCGTTGTACTGCGCGTACTATTTTAGCGGTGCATTTTAGCGGTGTATTTTAGCGTTCTCTTTGCAAGTTGCTGCTTGACATAGGTCAGTGTATTTCTCCTGGATGTACAACCCCGTTTTTAACGAGCTTCCATTTGAATACATTTTGTTTACCGACGCAGCCAAGGCTGCCAAGACTTGAATTTATACATTAAAACTCAGAAATAAATCTCAGCGTCTTTATTGTAATGATCGCATTGCTCTGCAATGCTGGCGAGGGGGTGTCGGTGTGCAACTCCCGTATGCGCGATCCTCTCTTAGGACAAGAGACGCACACTTCCATTTCGAGCGCTTATCCAGAGTTTGAAGTTAACGTTCTCCCATTAAGTAAACAGAAGCATGATAATTGTTTTTGTACCCTTCTATCTGGCAACAAAACTGACACCTTTTTTACAAGGAGTCATGTTTGCATTGACCACAATACCTGCAGTCGTAATGCAAACAAACACACAACTCTGATAATGTATGCACTGTCCTTGAAGTTGATTGGTCCACACCCAAGACAGCTTTCCTTAGAGCCCAGTCTCACCTGGGTTGGACCAGATGATGCCAAAAGGCGCACAACTCAAAGACAATGCACCATCAGAGTATGAGAGCTCGGGGCAAGCATTTACACCATTGGAACCTCATTTGCCAGTAAAAAATATGATAATTGGTTTTTGTACCCTTCTATCTGGCAACAAAACTGAAACCTTTTTTACATGTTGCCATGTTTGCATAGACCACAATACCTGCAGTCAGAATGCAAACAAAACACACAACTCTGATAGTGTATCCACTGTCCTTGAAGTTGATTCGTCCACACCCGAGACAGCTTAGTCTCGCCCTCGACGAACGAGCCACTGCACGGACCCACCTCGTTCTCTTCACACCACCCCCAGGTCTTGATTGTCAACCCTCACCCGGGTGCTCACCGGCTCGGCGTGCCGTCGTCGAAGCGTCGTGGTTGGAGCGACTTTGACTGGGGGCCGTGGGGTGCTCACAGCGCGGCTCTGTGAGTCAGCCCACGTTCAAAGCGCGTGTGATTGTTGCACTCGAATGAGCGTTGGGGCAGTGCAGAGGTCGCAACCGGGTACCCGATACCCGTACCCTACCCGATACCCGTACCCTACCCGATACCCGGCTACCCGTACCCGACCGGGTACGGGTAGCCGTTCACGACCCTGGTGCGGCCAGTTACGGGTAGGCCGTGAGTCACTGGTGAGTAACCATTTGTCACTCATTTCGGGTAGGGTACGGGTAGGGAATGGCTACCCGTACCCGGCTGGGTACCCGTACCCGGCCGGGTACGGGTATCCATTTGCGACCCTGGTGCGGCCAGGTACGGGTAAGGAAACAAAACCCATTTGCGACCTCTGGGGCAGTGCCCCATCTAATAATAATTCAAAACAATAGATACATCATGTGCCTGCAGAGCTGTGAGTCGGTGGTGGGACATGTGCACATTGCCACAGCAGCAGCAGGGTGGGTGTATTGTATAGGCCGCAGACTTCTTCATCGCAAGGCCACCAGCGACATGACGCAAATGTGAAAACACACCCCCCCCCCCCCCCCCCAATCATGCTGCTGTCGAAACCCCAAATGGTTTCAAGCGTGTGGCGGCCCTCACCACACTGATGATGCCTTCATGGCCAAAGTGGTCCCCCGCTATGAGAATGAGTGAAAAACACCGGTACAAGACAACCTCTGTTTGCTTTCCACAAAGTAGTACTCGCTTTATCGACCCCCCGAGAGATGATTTTTAAAACTACAACTTTTTGATGGGCAATCTGTGCCTCAGCCACCGGGCGCTGTGTCCGATTCTACGACCTGAAACTTCCTTCAAACGGTCACAAAAGGTTTCCCACCCCGATGTGTTGACGGCACTGAGCGAGCGGTGGGCATCGCAGCCATCCCACGGCAGGGGCTAAGTCTTCCTCAAGTACAACCGCTGCTGACTTGACTTCCCACCAAAAAATTAACCCGTAAAATCAAAGTTTTTCACTATAAATCCTTTATATGTGTGGCGGCTACGAGAGTCCTCTCGTCCTCTGGCTTGAGATGGCTGCCACCTATGGGTCAGATGATTGTCTGCCACCATTAAGCAATTGGTAATGAAATATTTTTTTTTAAATTCCCTAAAATTAATTGTCACGCACAACGAGTCTGTGTGCAAAATGTCAGCTCGATTGGATCACGGGAAGGGGGTTAAAAAACGACCGAAAGATTTGCACGGTCCTAAGCAAGCAAGCAAGTGAACTAATATAAAGGATTTAAAAGAAGATGCTTCCCGATGTATTGACCCTGTAAAGGCGAGTCATTCCGTGACCAAGATCTGGATTCGCAGCCTCGCGATTGCACTCTTGCCAAGTGCAACAGTTGATGAACTACCCATTGGGAATTATTGATCGGACCTAAACATCCTTTGATCCACCGTAGCAATGCGATTGGCCACTGCTGCACTATGCAACAGTGCAACAGTTGATGAATTACCCATTGGGAATTATTGATCGGACTAAACATCATTTGATCCACCATAGGAATGCGATTGGCCACTGCTGCACTATGCAACAGTTGCAACAGTTGATGAACTACCCATTGGGAATTATTGATCGGACTCTAAACATCATTTGATCCACCGTAGGAATGCGATTGGCCACTGCTGCACTATGCAACAGTGCAACAGTTGATGAACTACCCATTGGGAATTATGATCGGACTAAACATCATTGATCCACCGTAGGAATGCGATTGGCCACTGCTGCACTATGCAACAGTGCAACAGTTGATGAACTACCCATTGGGAATTATTGATCGGACCTAAACATAATTTGATCCACCGTAGGAATGTGATTGGCCACTGCTGCACTATGCAACAGTTGATGAACTACCCATTGGGAATTATTGATCGGACTAAACATCATTTGATTCCACCGTAGGAATGCAATGGCCACTGCTGCACTATGCAACAGTGCAACAGTTGATGAACTACCCATTGGGAATTATTGATCGGACTTAACATCATTTGATCCACCATAGGAATGCGATTGGCCACTGCTGCACTATGCAACAGTGCAACAGTTAATGAACTACCCATTGGGAATTATTGATCGGACTAAACATCATTTGATCCACCGTAGGAATGCGATTGGCCACTGCTGCACTATGCAACAGTTGATGAACTACCCATTGGAAATTATTGATCGGACTAAACATCATTTCATCCACTGTAGGAATGCAATTGGCCACTGCTGCACTATGCAACAGTGCAACAGTTGATGAACTACCCATTGGGAATTATTGATCGGACTAAACATCATTTGATCCACCGTAGGAATGCGATTGGCCACTGCTGCACTATGCAACAGTGCAACAGTTGATGAACTACCCATTGGGAATTATTGATCGGACTAAACATCATTTGATCCACCGTAGGAATGCGATTGGCCACTGCTGCACTATGCAACAGTTGATGAACTACCCATTGGAAATTATTGATCGGACCTAAACATCATTTGATCCACCGTAGGAATGCAATTGGCCACTGCTGCACTATGCAACAATGCAACAGTTGATGAACTACCCATTGGGAATTATTGATCGGACTAAACATCATTTGATCCACCGTAGGAATGCGATTGGCCACTGCTGCACTATGCAACAGTGCAACAGTTGATGAACTACCCATTGGAAATTATTGATCGGACTAAACATCATTTGATCCACCGTAGGAATGCGAAATTTCCACTCGTGGCTCTGAGGATAAGCACCAATATATAAAGTGTAATCCCTTGCAAGCGCTTCCAGGCTGTGCTGACTCTGTAGCTATCACAGCGGTTGAAATTATTTGTATTTTTCTCAATTTCGATTGATTCTCTAATTAGTCTTGGCCAGTAATAATTCGCTTCTGCATAACACTTCCACGTTATCAAAATTAGTTGAATGCCCTTGTTGGCAAGCATGCTCTGTCACTGTTGACAGCTGTGTTTGAGATGTAATTACCAGTCAACATCTCATTTGGGTCATTATTTTGTACCTTATACTGTATGAGATTTCTGATAATTTACATAACCAATACATTTTTCACTTTATTTACGTAGATCGCTCGAATGCCAACGCGAGTGTTTAGTGTTGATGGCGAGTTTAGTAATTAGTCGTACGTACGGTACAAAAAAGTTTTCCTCTAAAAAAAAAAAAATCTCTCTCCGCCTTGGAGCCAATCACAGTCGAGTGTCTCGCCTGTCACGTGACGCGGCGGTTTGTTTTTCCCGCCAAATTTTCTGGCTCCTCCCCCTCCTCGCTGGCGGCCATTTTAGAGTCGTGAGGGGGACAAGATGGCGGCCTCGACCATGACGACGATTCGACAGCGGTGCGTGGCACCACTTTCACTATTACTCACTCACTATCACTTACTCTTACACTGACTCACACTCACTAGCTCACTCTCTTACACTCACTATCACTCACTTACACTCTCACTCACTCACCACTCTTACACACAATCACACACTCACTCACACACTCTCACTCACTCTGACAATCTCACACTGACACACTCACACTAACAATCTCACACTCACTCACAATCACAATCTCACACTCACTCACTCACACTGACACACACAATCTCACACTCACTCACTCACACTCTCACTCACTCACAATCTCACACTCACTCACAATCTCACACTGACACACACAATCTCACACTCACTCACTCACACTCTCACTCACTCACAATCTCACACTCACTCACTCACAATCTCACACTGACACACACAATCTCACACTCACTCACTCACACTCTCACTCACTCACAATCTCACACTGACACACACAATCTCACACTCACAATCTCACACTCTCACTCACTCACAATCTCACACTGACACACTCACACTGACACACTCACTGACAATCTCTCACTCACTGCCCCAACACAATGAAGGCTGCACATGGGCAGGGCCGGATTAAGATTGTGTAGGCCCCTGGACTACTAGATGCTGTGCCCCCCCCCCCCCCAGTAATATTTACGAAAGGAAAACAAAGTTAAAGAAAAAAAATAAAATGTTTTTATTTTTTACTTTTCTCTTAATATCTTTATAATTCTTTAATTAGTAAAAGGTATGGCATTTTATTATTTAATTATTACAAATTATAATAACATCTTTTTTATTGGTTCGTTAGGTAAAGTCACGTAGATGAAAAAATATGTATTTTTTACAAGGCTAACAAGAAATAATATTCATCATTCACGAATGAAATTACTTTTCACTTAATCTCTGGAGGTCTATACTTTTTGGTTCTTTAGGTAAAGTCACGTAGATGAAAAAATATAATAAAATGTATTTTTTACAAGGCTAACAAGAAATAATATTCATCATTCACGAATGAAATTACTTTTCTCTTATTATCTGGAGGTGTATACTCTTTGGTTCTTTAGGTAAAGTCACGTAGAAGGGAAATAATAAAATAATATGAATATAAAACAATTAAAATTCTCATGACGTTTCGATTGCAACACAAGCAATCATCATCAGGTATAAATTAAATAGAAAACAAATCTAGTATACTTAGAAATGTAATGTAATATAACAGAGAGTCGGATAACATAACAGTCAACATCCTACCTGGTTGATTACGTTCTTCCTGAGAATGCTAAATTTGAGAGAGAGATTTAATCTCTCAACCAGATAGGGTGTTGACTGTTATGTTATCCGACTCTCTGTTATATTACATTACATTTCTAAGTATACTAGATTTGTGTTTCTATTTAATTTATACCTGATGATGATTGCTTGTGTTGCAATCGAAACTTTGTATGCTAGTATTTAATTTAAGTTATTATTTTATCTTTATACGTGACTTTACCGAAAGAACCAAAGAATAATTCCTGCAGTCACGAAAGCTCCAAATTAAGTGTAAGGTATATTTGCAGAGTCGATCGCATGGAGAAGCCCTCGACAGAGCGCCGTGCTAAAAGGCATCAATGCGACCGGTGTCCCTACAGCACGGATCGCCCTGGACACATGAAGCTGCATGAGAGAACGCACACGGGCGAAAAGCCATTCAAGTGCACCGTGTGTGGGAAGGCTTTTGTATGTTCATCAAATTTTCGAGTTCACGAAAGAATACACACGGGTGAGAAGCCCTACAAGTGCACTGTGTGCATGAAGGCATTTGGTCGTTCAGAACCTCTTCAAAATCACGAGAGAACGCACACGGGTGAGAAGCCCTACAAGTGCACCGTCTGTGGGAAGGCATTCATCTACTCAAACTATCTTCGGATTCATCGGAGAACGCACACAGGCGAAAAGGCATTCAAGTGCACCGTGTGTGGGAAGGCATTTGTCTATTCAAACTATCTTCGAGTTCACGAGAGAACGCACACGGGCGAAAAGCCCTACAAGTGCACTGTGTGTGGGAAAGGGTTTGCTGCGTCAGGACAACGAAAGAAGCATGAGAAGATCCACGAGAGGGTGAAATCTACTTGCGATGGTCAAAGTGCTGCTCCCATGAGTCCATCTCTCATAAAACAAGAACCGGAAGAAACTGACAACTTCGCTACGTGGCCAGGAGTGATGAAGTGTGAAGAAGAGATAACGGTGAAGCGTGAAGGTCAGGGTTCGACTCCAGGAGGCGACCTCCTGGTGGATGGAGTGGACGTGAAGCAGGAGGATGAGAATCGAGATTGTCGCTTGTGATGACCCCGTCGTTTTTGAAAAAGGGGTCACTTCAGCTTTGTCGGCATTACCGGGAAAAAAAAATGTGTTCGTTTAGTAAACTGGAAAAGGACTTTGGCCATATTCCAGGGATCCATTTGTGCGCCGTTTTCTTTTTTTTTGGGGGGGGGGGGGGGGGAGTTAAAGATCGCGTAAATATATATACTGTATACCCGGTGCGGTTTGTAAACATTGCCCCCTAGGGGGACAAATGCGTTCAGCCGTATTGCTGGCCACCCACCCACTCACTAGTGTATAATGTAACATAGAGACCCATAGACTCACAAAGAGACCCATAGACTCATAACGCAGACCAATAGATTCATCACGCAGATACCCATAGACTAATCACACATACACATAGACTCACACAGAGACCCATAGACTCACAAAGAGACCCATAGACTCGTCACGCAGACCAATAGATTCATCACGCAGATACCCATAGACTAATCACACGTACACATAGACTCACACAGAGACCCATAGACTCACAAAGAGACCCATAGACTCGTCACGCAGACCAATAGATTCATCACGCAGATACCCATAGACTAATCACACATACACATAGACTCATCATTTAGAGACCCATAGACTCACAAAGAGACCCATAGACTCATAACGCAGACCAATAGATTCATCATGCAGATACCCATAGACTAATCACACAAATCCATAGACTCATCATTTAGAGACCCATAGACTCACGCAGAGCCATAGACTCGTCATACAGAGACCCATATACTCACAGACCCATAGACTCCCACAGAGACCCATTGTAATTTTAATAATTGCATTGTGAAAATTCGAAAGTTTTCAGAAATGTTGATTGTGCAATGTAATGTTAGATGTGTCATTACAAAAACGTGTTTGTTGTGTGTGTTATTATTGTTATTTGAAGTTTTCGTGACTGCAGGAATCCATACTCTTTGGTTCTTTCAGTAAAGTCACGTTTCGGGCGCAACCCATTTTATTTTATACCTACGTGACTACCGAAAGAACCAAAGAGTATTATTGTTGTGATTTATATTCTTGACTAATATGTATGTTTATGATTATTTGCGATTATGCACAAAGTGTATCGCGACTTGTTACTGGCTCTCTAGTTGTCTAGGGGTTTGCAATGTCAATCGTGACGACATCGATGAATCTCGCTTCAACATTCAAACGCGGCGTGTCGGGCCCAGCACGCTGCCTGTAGAGCAGCCTCGGACAGCAGCCTGCACGTGACCACACCCCCCTCTCCCCTGGCCTCTCCACCAAATACAACGTCAAGTCACTGGGCTTAACCAACAACTTTTACAGCCTGTCGCTCGGGCACTCTATCGGTGTGCGACGACTCAAATCTCCACCTGTTCCACGTCTCAGCTCACAACTCTTAGCTTAGTGCAGTACGACTTCTCCAAGTCCTTCACTCTGCAAGTGACTCGAAAATGAAAAAGCGTCGAGGAAAACTTTCAGCAATACTTAAGTCTGCCTCGGCAAGAACTCAAATCTTAACTACTCGGCGCTTTTCTCCCGGCAAAGCTCAACTTATGGATGATTGCGAGAACTGTACCTCAATGCACGTGATGAATGACGTCACAAAGCAGTCCTTAAAGAGCCTCAATGCACGTGGTGAATGACGTCACAAAGCAACCCTTAAAGAGCCTCAATGCACGTGATGAATGACTGTCACAAAGCAGTCCTTAAAGAACCTCAATGCACGTGATGAATGACGTCACAAAGCAGTCCTTAAAGAGCCTCAATGCACGTGATGAATGACGTCACAAAGCAACCCTTAAAGGGCCTCAATGCACGTGATGAATGACGTCACAAAGCAACCCTTAAAGAGCCTCAATGCACGTGATGAATGACTGTCACAAAGCAGTCCTTAAAGAACCTCAATGCACGTGATGAATGACGTCACAAAGCAACCCTTAAAGGGCCTCAATGCACGTGATGAATGACGTCACAAAGCAGTCCTTAAAGGGCCTCAATGCACGTGATGAATGACGTCACAAAGCAGTCCTTAAAGGGCCGCATGCGGCTCCGACGCGTCAGGCTGCCAACCCCCTGGGTCTTGTCAATTGCAGCCTGCGCAATTGTAAGTCTTGGTCATGTAACTTACTAACTGTTCACTATATATTTCACCAGGCAAGGCCCACTGAGATAGAGAGCTCTTTTTTCCGAAAGCGACCTCGCCGAATGAGGTGGCTTGTCACGTGGACTTCTATAGCAGCGGCCAATGCACATGGAGGGGAAAAGCCGGAGGGTGCCGGGAAAAAAATCCACACAACCATGGGGAGAGAAATATGCAAACTCCAAACATACAGCAGCAGGCGACGTCAGGGTCGAGATCAAACCCACGACCTCCTGTACACCAGGCGAGGTGATCAACATCTGCTAGCCACCATGATGATGAGAGACACTCAAACTCCAAACATACAGCAGCAGGCGACGTCAGGGTCGAGATCAAACCCACGACCTCCTGTACACCAGGCGAGGTGATCAACATCTGCTAGCCACCATGATGATGAGAGACACTCAAACTCCAAACATACAGCAGCAGGCGTCGTCTGGGTCGAGATCAAACCCACGACCTCCTGTACACCAGGCGAGATAGTCAACATCTGCTAGCCACCATGATGAGAGACACTCAAACTCCAAACATACAGCAGCAGGCGTCGTCAGGGTCGAGATCAAACCCACGACCTCCTGTACACCAGGCGAGATAGTCAACATCTGCCAGCCACCATGATGATGAGAGATACTCAAACTCCAAACATACAGCAGCAGGCGTCGTCAGGGTCGAGATCAAACCCACGACCTCCTGTACAACATCTCTCATTGTCTGGGATTGAACCCACGACCTCCTGTAGACCAGGCGAGGTAGTCAACATCTCTCAGTGTCTGGGATTGAACCCACGACCTCCTGAGTACCAGGCGAGGTAGTCAACATCTCTCAGTGTCTGGGATTGAACCCACGACCTCCTGTAGACCAGGCGAGGTAGTCAACATCTCTCAGTGTCTGGGATTGAACCCACGACCTCCTGTAGACCAGGCGAGGTAGTCAACATCTCTCAGTGTCTGGGATTGAACCCACGACCTCCTGTAGACCAGGCGAGGTAGTCAACATCTCTCAGTGTCTGGGACTGAACCCACGACCTCCTGTAGACCAGGCGAGGTAGTCAACATCTCTCAGTGTCTGGGATTGAACCCACGACCTCCTGTAGACCAGGCGAGGTAGTCAACATCTCTCATGTCTCAGGGATTGAACCCACGACCTCCTGTAGACCTGGTAAGGTAGTCAACATCTCTCAGCTGTCAGGGATTGAACCCACGACCTCCTGTAGACCAGGCGAGGTAGTCAACATCTCTCAGTGTCTGGGATTGAACCCACGACCTCCTGTAGACCAGGCGAGGTAGTCAACATCTCTCAGTGTCTGGGATTGAACCCACGACCTCCTGTAGACCAGGCGAGGTAGTCAACATCTCTCAGTGTCTGGGATTGAACCCACGACCTCCTGTAGACCAGGCGAGGTAGTCAACATCTCTCAGTGTCTGGGATTGAACCCACGACCTCCTGTAGACCAGGCGAGGTAGTCAACATCTCTCAGTGTCTGGGATTGAACCCACGACCTCCTGTAGACCAGGCGAGGTAGTCAACATCTCTCAGTGTCTGGGATTGAACCCACGACCTCCTGTAGACCAGGCGAGGTAGTCAACATCTCTCAGTGTCTGGGATTGAACCCACGACCTCCTGTAGACCAGGCGAGGTAGTCAACATCTCTCAGTGTCTGGGATTGAACCCACGACCTCCTGTAGACCAGGCGAGGTAGTCAACATCTCTCAGTGTCTGGGATTGAACCCACGACCTCCTGTAGACCAGGCGAGGTAGTCAACATCTCTCAGTGTCTGGGATTGAACCCACGACCTCCTGTAGACCAGGCGAGGTAGTCAACATCTCTCAGTGTCTGGGATTGAACCCACGACCTCCTGTAGACCAGGCGAGGTAGTCAACATCTCTCAGTGTCTGGGATTGAACCCACGACCTCCTGTAGACCAGGCGAGGTAGTCAACATCTCTCAGTGTCTGGGATTGAACCCACGACCTCCTGTAGACCAGGCGAGGTAGTCAACATCTCTCAGTGTCTGGGATTGAACCCACGACCTCCTGTAGACCAGGCGAGGTAGTCAACATCTCTCAGTGTCTGGGATTGAACCCACGACCTCCTGTAGACCAGGCGAGGTAGTCAACATCTCTCAGTGTCTGGGATTGAACCCACGACCTCCTGTAGACCAGGCGAGGTAGTCAACATCTCTCAGTGTCTGGGATTGAACCCACGACCTCCTGTAGACCAGGCGAGGTAGTCAACATCTCTCAGTGTCTGGGATTGAACCCACGACCTCCTGTAGACCAGGCGAGGTAGTCAACATCTCTCAGTGTCTGGGATTGAACCCACGACCTCCTGTAGACCAGGCGAGGTAGTCAACATCTCTCAGTGTCTGGGATTGAACCCACGACCTCCTGTAGACCAGGCGAGGTAGTCAACATCTCTCAGTGTCTGGGATTGAACCCACGACCTCCTGTAGACCAGGCGAGGTAGTCAACATCTCTCAGTGTCTGGGATTGAACCCACGACCTCCTGTAGACCAGGCGAGGTAGTCAACATCTCTCAGTGTCTGGGATTGAACCCACGACCTCCTGTAGACCAGGCGAGGTAGTCAACATCTCTCAGTGTCTGGGATTGAACCCACGACCTCCTGTAGACCAGGCGAGGTAGTCAACATCTCTCAGTGTCTGGGATTGAACCCACGACCTCCTGTAGACCAGGCGAGGTAGTCAACATCTCTCAGTGTCTGGGATTGAACCCACGACCTCCTGTAGACCAGGCGAGGTAGTCAACATCTCTCAGTGTCTGGGATTGAACCCACGACCTCCTGTAGACCAGGCGAGGTAGTCAACATCTCTCAGTGTCTGGGATTGAACCCACGACCTCCTGTAGACCAGGCGAGGTAGTCAACATCTCTCAGTGTCTGGGATTGAACCCACGACCTCCTGTAGACCAGGCGAGGTAGTCAACATCTCTCAGTGTCTGGGATTGAACCCACGACCTCCTGTAGACCAGGCGAGGTAGTCAACATCTCTCAGTGTCTGGGATTGAACCCACGACCTCCTGTAGACCAGGCGAGGTAGTCAACATCTCTCAGTGTCTGGGATTGAACCCACGACCTCCTGTAGACCAGGCGAGGTAGTCAACATCTCTCAGTGTCTGGGATTGAACCCACGACCTCCTGTAGACCAGGCGAGGTAGTCAACATCTCTCAGTGTCTGGGATTGAACCCACGACCTCCTGTAGACCAGGCGAGGTAGTCAACATCTCTCAGTGTCTGGGATTGAACCCACGACCTCCTGTAGACCAGGCGAGGTAGTCAACATCTCTCAGTGTCTGGGATTGAACCCACGACCTCCTGTAGACCAGGCGAGGTAGTCAACATCTCTCAGTGTCTGGGATTGAACCCACGACCTCCTGTAGACCAGGCGAGGTAGTCAACATCTCTCAGTGTCTGGGATTGAACCCACGACCTCCTGTAGACCAGGCGAGGTAGTCAACATCTCTCAGTGTCTGGGATTGAACCCACGACCTCCTGTAGACCAGGCGAGGTAGTCAACATCTCTCAGTGTCTGGGATTGAACCCACGACCTCCTGTAGACCAGGCGAGGTAGTCAACATCTCTCAGTGTCTGGGATTGAACCCACGACCTCCTGTAGACCAGGCGAGGTAGTCAACATCTCTCAGTGTCTGGGATTGAACCCACGACCTCCTGTAGACCAGGCGAGGTAGTCAACATCTCTCAGTGTCTGGGATTGAACCCACGACCTCCTGTAGACCAGGCGAGGTAGTCAACATCTCTCAGTGTCTGGGATTGAACCCACGACCTCCTGTAGACCAGGCGAGGTAGTCAACATCTCTCAGTGTCTGGGATTGAACCCACGACCTCCTGTAGACCAGGCGAGGTAGTCAACATCTCTCAGTGTCTGGGATTGAACCCACGACCTCCTGTAGACCAGGCGAGGTAGTCAACATCTCTCAGTGTCTGGGATTGAACCCACGACCTCCTGTAGACCAGGCGAGGTAGTCAACATCTCTCAGTGTCTGGGATTGAACCCACGACCTCCTGTAGACCAGGCGAGGTAGTCAACATCTCTCAGTGTCTGGGATTGAACCCACGACCTCCTGTAGACCAGGCGAGGTAGTCAACATCTCTCAGTGTCTGGGATTGAACCCACGACCTCCTGTAGACCAGGCGAGGTAGTCAACATCTCTCAGTGTCTGGGATTGAACCCACGACCTCCTGTAGACCAGGCGAGGTAGTCAACATCTCTCAGTGTCTGGGATTGAACCCACGACCTCCTGTAGACCAGGCGAGGTAGTCAACATCTCTCAGTGTCTGGGATTGAACCCACGACCTCCTGTAGACCAGGCGAGGTAGTCAACATCTCTCAGTGTCTGGGATTGAACCCACGACCTCCTGTAGACCAGGCGAGGTAGTCAACATCTCTCAGTGTCTGGGATTGAACCCACGACCTCCTGTAGACCAGGCGAGGTAGTCAACATCTCTCAGTGTCTGGGATTGAACCCACGACCTCCTGTAGACCAGGCGAGGTAGTCAACATCTCTCAGTGTCTGGGATTGAACCCACGACCTCCTGTAGACCAGGCGAGGTAGTCAACATCTCTCAGTGTCTGGGATTGAACCCACGACCTCCTGTAGACCAGGCGAGGTAGTCAACATC